AGGTCGAGATCAACTCAGGTGGGCAGTAACATTCGTCAGTCGAAGATGAGCACGTCAGCCGGTACGCTGACTGGCGACAGCCAAAAAGTAAGCAGAGATCACACGAGCTCAGCAGTGATCAATATCACGGTCAGTCACTATTGATCAGGCAGGCCAAAGTTCGTGCGCCGAGCGCAGATATATTAACAGGCACGCGGCAAGGCTGCAATAGTCCCGGCGAACAGGAACAACCACCTAGTTACTCTGACGATGGAAACGAGAGAGTGTCCGAAACGTCAGTCACAAAATATAACGGCCCATGTCCTCGAACCTTCTTCTTCCTTTTCTTTGGAGGATGGTGTAAATGATTTTCCGAGACATTTTACGCGAGGCTAAATGATGAACGATTAACATATATGGGTTATAAAACTCAAAACTGGCCTCTGCCTCCTGTTTTCTGTTGATTCTTGATGTGACCTTACCTTGGTTTACGCTCTCACTCCAGTATATTAATTTGTGCCACACAGTATTACTACATTATCATGCCCTTGCCTTTTTCTCTATTTCTAATTGTTCTCATTGTTCGTTTCTCAATATGTTTTTCTAAGATATAATCTTTCCTTTGACATTAGATCGTTACCTACGATAATGGCATTCAAAGCTAAATTACGTAAGAATTTAATATCGAAGGTAGAAAATACTTATTGTCCGTTTATCCGTAAACAATCAAATTTTGGACTTTGAGAAGGATGCTTCCGGATCTTTTCGCGGTTCCTCTTGATGGTACTTAGTCTCAAAAACCGCTTATATTGTTTTCAACAGACACGATTCCCACAGGCATTTTACTTTCCTTTTAAGCTCGACTATCATTGTGAACTGTTGAGGAACCCAGTGGGTTCCTCTTTCTTACAACCCTGGCGATGGTTTCTTCCGTCAAAAAAGTATACTGCGCAGATGATTATTTCTTTTTCCCTTCGTTCATGACCCTATGCGATGATCTCAGCAACCAACACACCTACTACGGCATCGGGCAATAGTCTTCGTGGTCGTTCTCCCTGGTGTCGACCCTCAATTGGCTGCCTGATATCGCCACGGGTTCCTCTGTTTTGGCTATCTTGTCGATGGCCTCCACAATCAGCAAGTGTCTCGTAGTCGCATATGCAGCACTTCAACGGTGATCTTCGTGATCCCTGTGGTCCCGTACCACTCGTTTCGGCTCTAAGCTTACTAATGATGACTGAGATGGGTTTCTTTGTGTTGCCTCTGATAATTGCTCCTGTAGCGACTCGGCAGTATTATGATCGCGTCTGCAGTGATATGATGGTTAAATATAGCCATGACGAACAACGTTTCGAACCATCGTACACGCTCATCGACATGACGATCCCATCTCATGCGTAAATTTTCTTCCCATGAGCGAAATCTTTTCTTTTTAAAAATCCACAAATCCCTTTCAAATTACACTTCTCCCGTAGAAATGTTCAAAGGGATTTTCACTGTCAACTCTTTTTAAGGATTTGGTTGCGTCTCACTGACTCGTATCATCTTAAATCGTCAATGAGCTGTGTACATCTTTGCTCATCCGTTCTGATATATTTTCAATGAAAGTGCATTTCCGAGTACTTAAATACACAGTAGATTGCCTACGTCATAAATGTAATCCGATATGCCGAAACTTTTTATTTGGAACAAAGTACTCAAGAAGCGTTGCAAGACTGATTATCCTATGAGCCGAGATACTATTCTTATATAATTATACTACTCGTTATGAGTGAGTAGCAGTGTATGTTGACTATATTCCACTAATTGACGGCTGCTTACATTTCGCCTGCAATCATGTGGACGACATTGTTTGAATTTTTCTACGGCGTTTGCCTATCTTTCCCTCAATAAAACTGATCTGAAAAAATCCTGCAGCCTAATCCCAAGATATTTCAGTTCCGTCAGGGTGCTGGCTTTTGAATGAGTTTCTTTCTGACCACCCATGAAAAGCATACTCTGTAAAAGGTGGTTACTTCCGCATTGATTCTCAATGCTTTTATACCTTCAAATGCATTTTATATAACTCATGCACAATAACATTTTCCTGCACCCGTTTGTTAGCAAATGACGCTTAATTCAAATATACACTTGACGAAAGGGTATCTCGGGTTTTTAAAAATGTTCTAACGTGCCGATTAGTGTGGAAACTTAGCAGCCGTTACATTTAAATTCATGGTTTTCACCTAGCTGCTGTGTAAATTCCATTAAGACGAATCAGCTATTTCCCTTTGATACAAAGAAAAGTGCGCATAGTTCTTGGAAAATTTTGCGATAGACGGATATGATACACAGTAGTTGCCGGCTATTAAGCCCACGGTTAATAAGCCCGCCGCTTATTAAGCCCAGTTTGGTCTGGGCCCGATGTGGACTTAATAGCCGGCGACTACTGTTTTATGAATGAAAATCTCACGGCGTAATTTGCTGCGAAACGAGTAACTAGATAAAATATT